CAGAAGACTTTGAGTTTGATCCCCAGCATGTCTCTCCTCCCCCAAAATTAGCAGAATTCAGCAGTGACATCACATGATCATGAGCTTTGCTTTTTTGGGAGAATTTTTGTTACTGATTCAACGTTCTTATTTGTTATTTTCCAGTTCAGACTTTCTGTGTCTTCATGGCTCAATTTTGGTAGGTTATATATGTCCAGAAATTTATCCATTTCTTCTAGGTTTTCCAGTTTGTTGATATAGCTGTTCATAATAGTCCCCAGTGATCCTTTTTCTTTCTGTGGTGTTGGTTGTAATGTCTCTTTTTTCATTTATTTATTTGAGTTTCATTTTTTTCTTGGATAGTCTAATGAAAGGTTTGTAAATGTTGTTTCTTCTTTAACTTTTCAAAATACCAACTCCTCATTTCACTTATATTTTCTATTTTTTAGTCTGTAATCTATTTATTTCTGTTCTGATCTTTATTTCTTTCTTCCCACTAATTTTGAATTGGGTTTTTTGTTGCTTTTCTAGTTCCCTGAGAAGCACCATTAGGTTTTCTGGTTGAAATCTTTCTATTTTTTTTTCATGCAGGCAATTATTGCTATAAACTTAAAGCATCTTAGCAGTGCTTTTGCTGCATTCCATGACTATTGTTATCTTGTATTTCTATTTTCACTTTGTTTCAAGAAAGTTTTAAATTTACCTTTGATTTCTTTGAAGACTCATTGAGCATTCAACAGCATGTAACTTAGTTTGCATATATTTGCACAAGTTCTAAAGTTTCTTTTGTTATTAGTTTCTAGTTTTATTCTATTGTCTCAGAAGATACACAGTATGTGTCATTTATTTAAATTTTCTGAGACTTAGACTGTGGGCTATCATATGTTCCATCCTGGAGCACATTCTATGTGCTGATGAGAAGAAAGTGAATTCTGCAACTGTGGAATGACATACTTTGTGCACGTTAGGTCCATTTGATCCACTTGTCTAAATACATTGTCTCATGTTGAATTTTTGCCTGGACAATTTTTCTACTGATGAAAATAGTATATTGAACTCCTCAACTATTATTGCATAGGAGCCAATCTCTTCCTTCAAATGTAATATTGTTTGTTTTATAAAATTTGGTGCTGTAGCATTAGGTTGACGTACATTTGCAATTGTTTTCCTGAATTTATCCCTTGATCATTATGCAGTCACCTTCTTTGACTCTCCACAGTTTATTTACATAAAGTCTATTTTATCTGATATAAGTATAGCTAATCCATCTCATCTTTGGTTTCCATTTTCTAATGGTTGTTTTGACTATCCTTTGTCCTTATCTTCTTCTCTTACTGTTTATTCTTGTGGTCTTATTCTTTTCTTTCTCTTTTGTGGATCTGCTCTTCTAATGGGTTTTATACTTTCTTATGTTTTTATGGCAGAGGTTGTCTTTATTTTGCTTCTAGATGTATGACTCACTTAAGCATCTTTGTAAGACTAGTCCTGTAGTGTAGAATTCCTACAGGTTTTGCTTATCTCAGAAAGTCCTTATTTCACCTTCATTTCTGAAGGATATTGTATTCTTGGTCAGCAATTTCCCTTCAAAATATTGAACATGGCATCCCATTCCCTTCTAGTCTGTAAAGAAAGTACTTCCTCTAAAATTAGACCAAGATAAGGATGTCTACTTTCATGACCTTCATTCAACATAGTTCTGGAAGTCTTAGCCAGAACAACAAACAGGAGAAAGAAATAAAAGACATACAAATAGGAAGAAAGAAAGTCAAATTATTCTTGTTAGCTCACATGAGTCTATATATTAAAAAAAAACCTGAAGATTCCACCAATGGCACACGTCTGTAATTCCAGCTACCAGGGAGGCAAAGATTGGGGAGATTTCAGTTCAAGGCAAGGCTGACCCATAAGTTAGGGAAACCCCATTTCAAACAGTAAGCCAGACATGATAGTGTATGCATGTCATCCCAGCTATGCAAGAAGCCATAAGTAGGAGAATCAGACTTCAAGGCCAAAGCCAGGCAAAAAGCATGAGATACTATCTAAAAAATAACTAAAATTTTAAAAAGGGCTGGAGACATAGCTCAAGTTATAGAGTGCTTGCCTAGCAAGCCTGAGGTCCTTAGTTCAACTGCAGTATAGCCAGAGGGACAGAGAGAGAGAGAGAGAAATTTCACTAAAAGACTACTGGAACTGATAAAATCAGTAAAGTTACAGAATAAAAACTCAAGATACAAAAATCAGTCGCATTTTTGTACAGCAATAATGAACTTGCTGAGAATGAAATCACGAAAGCAAGTCCACTCACATTAGACACACACACCACACACACACACACACACACACACACACACACACAAATACCTAGGGATAAAATTAATCAAGGAAGTGATTAATGCCCAGAATATACAAGGAACTAAAAAAAAAAACTTCTCAACAGCAACAACAATTAAATTAATATGGGCAAATGATTTGAACAGACATTTTTCAAAATAGGAAATACATATATCCAAGTGTGTGGAAACATGCTCACCACTACTAGCTGCCAAGGAAATGAAAACCAAAACCACAGTGAGACCCCATCTCACCTCAGAAAGAATGACCATTACCAAAAAGTCAAAACACAACAAATGCAGGCAAGGATGCAGAGCAAAGGGAACTATTCTTAGGAATGTAAGTTTGTGTGGCCATTATAGAGAACATTACAGAGGTTCCTCAAAAACCTAGAAATGGAACTACAACATGATCCAGCTGTCCTGGCCCCCAATGTTTATCGTAGTACTATTCTTTTTTTTTTTTATTCATATGTGCATACAAGGCTTGGTTTTTCCCCCCTGCCCCTACCCCCCCCTTACCACCCACTCCCCCCCTCTCCCCCCCACCCCTCAATACCCAACAGAAACTATTTTGCCCTTATTTCTAATTTTGTTGTAGAGAGAGTATAAGCAATAACAGGAAGAAACAAGGGTTTTTGCTGGTTGAGATAAAGATAGCTATACAGGGCATTGACTCACATTGATTTCCTGTGCGTGTGTGTTACCTTCTAGGTTAATTCTTTTTGATCTAACCTTTTCTCTAGTTCCTGGGTCCCCTTTTCCTATTGGCATCAGTTGCTTTTGAGGTATCTGCTTTAGTTTCTCTGCGTTAAGGGCAACAAATGCTAGCTAATTTTTTAGGTGTCTTACCTATCCTCATCCCTCCCTTGTGTGCTCTCACTTTTATCATGTGCTCAAAGTCCAATCCCTTGTTGTGTTTGCCCTTGATCTAATGTCCACATATGAGGGAGAACATACGATTTTTGGTCTTTTGGCCAGGCTAACTTCACTCAGAATGATGTTCTCCAATTCCATCCATTTACCAGCGAATGGTAACATTTCGTTCTTCTTCATGGCTGCATAAAATTCCATTGTGTATAATACCACATTTCTTAATCCATTCTTCAGTGTGGGGCATCTTGGCTGTTTCCATAACTTGGCTATTGTGAATAGTGCCGCAATAAACATGGGTGTGCAGGTGCCTCTGGAGTAACCTGTGTCACAGTCTTTTGGGTAATCCCAAGAGTGTATTGCTGGATCAAATGGTAGATCAATGTTTAGCTTTTTAAGTAGCCTCCAAATTTTTTTCCAGAGTGGTTGTACTAGTCTACATTCCCACCAACAGTGTAAAGGGTTCCTTTTTCCCCGCATCCTCGCCAACACCTGTTGTTGGTGGTGTTGCTAATGATGGCTATTCTAACAGGGGTGAGGTGGAATCTTAGTGTGGTTTTAATTTGCATTTCCTTTATTGCTAGAGATGGTGAGCATTTTTTCATGTGTTTTTTGGCCATTTGAATTTCTTCTTTTGAGAAAGTTCTGTTTAGTTCACTTGCCCATTTCTTTATTGGTTCATTAGTTTTGGGAGAATTTAGTTTTTTAAGTTCCCTATATATTCTGGTTATCAGTCCTTTGTCTGATGTATAGTTGGCAAATATTTTCTCCCACTCTGTGGGTGTTCTCTTCAGTTTAGAGACCATTTCTTTTTGATGACAGAAGCTTTTTAGTTTTATGAGGTCCATTTATCTATGCTATCTCTTAGTTGCTGTGCTGCTGGGGTTCCATTGAGAAAGTTCTTACCTATACCTACTAACTCCAGAGTATTTCCTACTCTTTCCTGTATCAACTTTAGAGTTTCTGGTCTGATATTAAAATCCTTGATCCATTTTGAGTGTAGTACTATTCTTAATAGCCTCAACCTAAGTGTCCACGGATGAACAAAGAAAACACAGTGTATGTACACAATGGAATATTACTCATCCATGAAAGAATGAAATCTTGTCACCTACAGCAAGGAAGGAAGGAAGGATGGAAGGAAGGAAGGAAGGAAGGAAGGAAGGAAAATGGAAATGGATGGAAGTTGAACACATAGGTGAGTTAAATCAGACACAGAAAGACAAATACCACATATTCCCTCTCATATGTGGAATCTTCAGAAATCGATCTCAAAACGGAAGAGTAGAATAGTGACTACTAGAAGCTAGGAAGGGTGGGAGGCCAGAATAGAGGGAAGATGGACAACTGGTACCAATACCCAGATATGCAGTTTCTAGTGTTCTGCAACACAGTACGGTGGTTATATTCCACAAAAAGCTATTGTGTATTTTATAAAGAACTGAAGAGATGAACTGTAAACCTCCAAACACAAGGAAGCAATAAGGAGGTGGAAAGTCTAATCGCTTGGGTTTGATCAGCGGGCATTGTATGAATCAGAGTGCATTCTATAACCCTGCACTCAGGGGGCTAAGGCAGGCAAAATAGAGAGGTCTTGGCTCAAAAAAAAAAAAATACACATAAAAAATTTATCCCATAGTTATCTAGAATTACTGTATGCTGGTTAAAAGAAAAGAAATTAAATTAATAAATATAAATGCCCTGTGCTTGCTCAGAGAGGCCACATAGCAGTGAAGGAGCAGAGCAGCCTGCCAACTTTCCGAAGCAGGTCTGCCCCTATTTGGTCGCCTTCTCTGAGAGTGGCAGCCAGGCCACTTTTCAGTGCCTACAGCGGGGATTCTCGCGACCTCTCTATCTGGTAGTCACAAATGGAAGCGGAAACCCAGAAACAATGTGAGTCTCGCGCAGGAAAGCTGGAGTGCAGAAGAGTTCAGAAGTGGGCGGTGTGTGTGTTTAAAAAAAAAAAAAGGGTGGAAACTCCACCAGCCAAGTTGTAGAAAAAAATAAGAGCGGTGCAGGGCAGTGTGCCTATCTCGGGGCGGGAGCCGCTCCCCTGTGGCTCAGCCTGGCTGGGGACTGTGACCTAGGTGCCGCTTCCTCTGCCTTCGGGGTCAGGAGTCCCGCGCGCCCCCGCCACCGCCGTGTCCCGCGCAGGTCCCCTCCGCCGGCGGCGCCAGGACCCGTCGGCCATGAGCAGCCTCAACAACACGTCGCCGTCCCCGCACCCCGGTGAGTGCCCGCGTGGGGACCGTCCTGGGCCCACGCGGCCGCGGATACCCAGGGTCCCGCGTCCCAGGTCGCCGGCTGGGCTGAGCCGGGAAGGGGACACCCAGCTCCCGGCCCCAGCCCCGCTCCGACCCCGCGCCCCACTTCCGCAGAGCCCCCGCGCGTCCGCTAGCTTTCTGTTTCTTTGTGGGGGCGATTGGTGAAGTGTCCTAGGCCACACCATGTCCTAGGAAAATGAAGAGGGAGTGGCTCTCAGGACGCGCAAGGACTCTGTTAACTCCAAGAAGGGGCCGCAGCCGTCCAGCCGCCTGGCTCGCTCCTCCTGGCCCAGGCAGGCAGGGACAGGCACAGATGTCGCAGGGGAAAACGGGAGATCCTATGAGAAGAGATTCTTTGTGGATGCTGGGAAACATCGCTGGGTCTCTCCTGCCCTCCTCTGCCGTTGGATTATTGCAAGCAAAGTTAAAATGTTTACACTTTAAAGGAATGACTTTATAACTTTTATACCTCACACTCAGTCCGATTATTGCACCCTGTCAGGAGGAGATACTCTGAGCCTCCGAAGTGATCCTTAACGTGATAATGATGTGGGTATTGAATAGATAGACTCTTTTCTAAGTCTTTGAAATGCAGGTGGTGATGAGGCCTCCCAGGCCCAGCCTGCTCTGAATGACAGCAGCTTAGCTCTGCAGGTGTTGTGCTCCATGCCATGTGCGCACAGCCAGCTCCTGTATGAGGCCTCTGGGCTGCTGGAGTGAGCGCTGGGGTGCCTTTAGGTGCACTTAAATGACTGGACACAGAGGCTGACACATGCCAAGGGATCCTAAATATCAGGCATTTTTATATTTGGAGCTGTGAGTTCCTGTCTATTAGTGTGTTTATGTGCATGTCTGACTTGAGCTCATTTCTGTGAGTATGCACTTTGTGTGTGTGTGTGTGTGTGTGTGTGTGTGTGTGTGAGAGAGAGAGAGAGAGAGAGAAAGAAGAACACGAACACGTGCTGCCAGGGGAATAGAAGACAGAGCCACTGTGCTCATTTCACTGAGGAAGTGCAAGCTGCAGCCACTCCAGCTCTAAGAGGATCACCCACCCACCCCACTTCCTCCCCAACAGTCTTAAGGATTCCAGTTTCAGACCTTATAAACATCTCCTGTTGGACTGGTGGAGACGCAGCCCTTGTCGGCATACCATACCAGATCATCCTGCCGATTTGATTTATGACAGGATCCCAACTGTGGGAGGACCCTGGGGCCCCATTTCTTTCTGCTAATTCAGACAGGATGTGTCTATAGCCGGTCTCAGTTTACATAGCTGTAGCCGCTCCTCGGAACCAAGGTTAGAATGGAGAGGACCTGCTTCCCTCCACCGGGATTGCCCAGCCTGGTGGGACATGAATGCCATAGTTACTGCCAATGAGTCATGCACAATGTCCGTGCCTTGCCCTTGGGTTGAAGAGGTCAACACTCAGTGAGAAAACAGCCAGGTTTGGTAGCTTTATATAGAATTCGCCACCTCTGGCAGAAGCAGAGAGGATTGAGTTAAGTGCCAAATGAAATTCCATCTCAGCCATTGCTCAATCCCTCCATATATTGGTGGTGTTAGGAGTCTCACAGGGCTGGCTCAGTCAGCAGCTGGACCTTTCCCAGGGTGCCCTTGGTTGGGCAAGTATTTCTGGGACTTGCTAAAGCAGTCTGGGAAGCAGACGGGAGTGGGGTAAGAGGTATTCTTGTTGGCAGTGGAGGGGTAAATCGTCTTACAGCGAGTAGGAAGAGGCCTTTCCACAGCAGTGAGAAGCTGGGCAAGCCAGGTGTGTTTGCATCTTTGGATGACTGATATATGTATCTGAAATCCCTTTTTGAGGCCTCAACCCAAACATATTCCAGCAACTGAGTGAACAATGTGAGGCCCAGCAAGCACAGGTTAAAAACCAAACCAAACAAAAGCGTTTGAACCATGAAGAGCTAATAACAGGAAAGAAGGACAACTTCTTCCCATCCTAAGGACAATGGCTTTATTGCTGAGAATTCTTCTGGAAGCATCATATGCATGTATAGTTATTTCTTACTTTACAAAACGGAACCTATTTTATATATTCTACTTCATCTTGCTTTTTTCTATAAGAATATATCTTAAAGATGATACCTTGGCATCATAACAAGACTCTTCTTGGGACGGCAGTGTATGAATTGTATGACTATGATGTGTACAGACTAATTTTTCAAACAGATACTGTGCAAATCCTTATAAGTTGAATTCTACCTGCATTTGATTGTATACTTTTAGGACAAATTCCCCCACCTGCAATTCTTATAGTGGGGTGTTAAAAACATGGGTACATACTCAGAAACTTGCCTCTAAGGTCACACCAGTTTCTAATGCTTTTTTGCCTCTGTAAGATTTTGTATCACTTTTTGGAGAAGTGCCTGTCAGAACCCCAATGTTAGTTTGCCTGTCAGTCCTTCCATCTGTGTATGTGAATTCAGGCCAGGCTTGCTATGGGAGGGATACAAAATACCTCAGGGCCATGGTTTTCTCATCTATCTGTGGAGGTGGGAATAACAAAGCTAACTTCACAAGAGTCACGTGGGGACCCAGCAGTGGTGGGAGTAGAGGGGATGGCTGTTAACGAAATTTATCAAAGCAGACCCGGTCTGCAGGCGCGGGTACTCTCAAGTCTCCAGTGGAGAGCTGGCGGTTGTTTTCTGCTTTTTGATAACATAACGACGGCATTAGTGCTTCAGGCCAAGCTATGGTAGAGCCTTGCTGGGTCACCCCTGCATACCTGGAATGATGGGCATTTTCTTACCTGTTTGGCAGAAGAAACACTGGAGGCCTAGCCTGGCCTGCTGTTCCCAGTTCTGAGGATAAAGCCAGGCTGTGCATGGAGGGTGTCAGAGCCACAGCCCACCTGAGAGGGTCAGGGCACGAGGAAGTCTGTTGCTGGTGTGCATCGTGCAGAGGACCTGCACGCAGCACTGACACATGGGATGGCGGCCACCCCACATGTCCTCAGCCAAACCTGCAGTCCAACCCGATCCAGGACTGCCTACCATCACTCCCTTTTCTGTGGTTAGATCTGACCCACCCTGGGCTGTTGTTCTGTTCCCTACCTGGGGGATTCCCTCATGGCCCCTGTGCATCTGCCTGTGCAGTTCACTTCTCCAGCTTCGAGCCTCACAAATGCATCTATCAGCCCTCTGGCTGTTGTGGTAACACCCCTCACCACTACACACACACACACACACACACACGCACACCAGCCCCCCCCACCCCCGGGGTTTTCTGGGTAACCTCATCCCACACATGCATACCTTTTTTTCTGTTGGTCAAGACCCAGTTTATGCATTTCCACCTCACGGAAAATTTTCCCAACCCTAGAAAACCACCAACTACAGACCAAGGGACACTTTGCAGCCCTGACAGAGTCAGGATTCTGACCTCCTGAGGTCATCTTGCCCCCTACTTTTGGGGCCTGGCCCACAGAGGCACTAGACAAACCAGTCAGAATGCATGGATGTTAGCACAGACTATCCTAAAGTTGACACTCTCGGGCCCGGTACCCTTCTCAAGCCAAAAGTCTGTTCCAAAGGCCAGAGTGCTTTTGAAAAGTCATACACTGAAATACTCAGCAGCTCCTAGGCCAGAACTTGGCATATGCTGGGAGGCCAGGAAATAATAAATTGGAACAGAAAGAAAGTCAAACTGAAACAGTCTGAGAACAGAGCAAAGAGGCCCCAGAAGCCACTTCCCACCCAGCATTGAGTCACATTCACGTCCTCTCCCTCTCCCCACCCAACCCCTGCCCCCACCCTCCTCTCATGGCCTGGGAGTTTCTTTACATCATTATATAATCTGACCTTCTGAGGGAGTGCTGCCCCTGTTCTTAGCTATTATAAATTTTAATTTTGTACATTCTTCCAGAACAATGTTCCTGTACAGAACCTTAGCACTGGCAGAAAATGACAAAAGTCCCTTTCCCTTGGTGCTACCCAGAGCCCACCCCCAGGGTCTGGATTCCATCTCTGGGTTGAGGGGGTTGGCAGGGCTCTCACTAGACTTCCACTTTCCTCCATGGGGAGCCCCCCAACCAGGGGAAGGGTCTGCGCAGGCCCCCCACAACCCCATACCACACCCTGAGGTTCTAGTTCTTTCTCTTCCATAATACCACATGCCCTCATCTCCATTACTTTTCATACCCAACTCTTGATGACACTGTATTACAGTCCCTTGTTTCTGTTTTTCTCCTTCTGTGTTAAAGTCACACATACCCTGTCTCTTACTGCCAAACCACCATGGTCACACATGATTGATTTGGGGCTCAGCAGGCACACATTGACCACTTTCCAGAGCTGAAAAAAGGGGCTCCCATTTGGAGGCACTGGTTTTAGGCAAACCCTGGGTAGGGCTGCCTCAAGCATCCCACTGCACCTGACGCACCCTGCATTCTCCACTTTGCATGGACAGTACTGACTGGTATGTCCCTTGCTGAGAACCAGTGTCAGACACCCCTGTACCCCTTTCTCCTGCATGCACTGTGCATTTATAAGGGGCTTGAGTATCGGGCTTGAGTTGGAACCCCAACCCTGCCATTCTTCCTCTTGGGCCCCTGGACTAGAGAATCTTTACTTTTTATCAGCAGTCAATGGGTTCCTGTACTTTGGCACCTATACTCATGGGAGGAAAATTATATTTGCCAGATCAAAACCTGATACAACAACCATGCCTGCTGACTTTTGTGTTGGGCCCCAGTCAGTGGCCATACATAGTGGCGTCTGTGTCCCCTCCTCCCCCCACAGGCATCAGTCCACTTGGTGTGAATTCTTCTCTCATTTCAGATGCTTGATAAAAGCTACACAGCCTGGACAATGCTAGAGGCCTCAAGTAGGTTTTGTTCCCCCTCAGGGTTTTGTTGTTGTTGTTGTTGTTGTTAAAAATCATGTAGCCCAAATACACTTTGTCAATGTGCTAGTGGCAGAGAGATTGGTAATACCAGCTAGTCAGTG